AAGGCCTTACTGGCCGAAGGTAGACGCTAGTGACAGTGATCAGTTTAAAAGTCAAAATGATGATGATGGCAGCGACAGAATTAACGTTGTTGTTTCTATTCTTAATGCAAAAGGAGCTTTTATGTTTTTGCTGACTGTCGTCAAGGTCAATGATGGGATCAATCAAGCATTAATTAACAAAGGCAATAAAAGTCACAGAGCTGAGCCTACGAATATGATTGGAAATAGATATTTAAATAAAGATGGAAAAATGTTACAAGAAAAAATAGAAAAATAGTATTCGCAACACTTTGCGTGTCCGTATACACACGTATAAGTAAATATGTACAAATGGCTACGTACATCTTAAACTATATAAACGAAGATAAAAAAACAAAGGAACCGAACATTATTCAGATGCGAAATGTTTATGCCTTTGGCAGAGCAGAAAAAAAAAAACTAAAAAAAAAATAATAGTACAGAGGTGTCCGAATCGGATTCGATATATATATATAGAACGCTTGTTATTTTAAGAGCTCTGCTGTAACCGCAAAATGTTGTAGACACATGAAACCTTATTTTTTATTCGAACAGGTGCATGCATGAGGGCGGTGGTTGCCCATAAATTCGCAGGCGATGATGTAAATGTAACAAAAGACCAACTCCATCTGACTAAGTGCCTTGCGATGTGGCATACATTGATGGTGCAGCATGTAGACTATGTTGGCAGAGGTTCAGTTGGATAGACAAAACGCTCTTCTCTTGGGCTGATTAGCAAATGACGACAAGAATTTTAATCGTTTGTGGCATGATCAGCAAAAAGTGTGGGGAATGAGTGGCTGGCAAGGGTGAGATATTTTTAGTAGGACGAATGAAGCCTCTCAACTTAATTTGTTTTTTTTTTTTTTTGCAGCATTCTCCAAAACAGTTTTGTTTCATTTTGCAGCTACCTTTTTCTGTTGCACATTTATTTATGCATTTGTTGTAGTAGCCAAAGTGTCACTGTGAGATATTTTTCTTTTATTTCACGAGGATTTTATTGCTGCCTCCTTTATGTCTATGTTAAATAAGAATTTATTCAATACTAAGAAATTTACCCCACATATCGGTTTTATACGTCACTTTGACAGTCGGTCATCAATTTGAGCTTGACTGTTGACTGTTGTTGCTCTGATGCCATTGTAGTGGTAAAAGTTGGCATAATTTTTTTTTTGACTAACTTTGAAACATCGTCGATATCGCCACTGAAATTAACTCCTAAGATCCTCATAAAAATTAAGCTATACTCTTACTTTAACATAATTAATTTTTACTTTATGTTATGCCTTATATATCTATTCTATAATGAGGCAGGAAAACATATTAAAGTCTGAAAATATTTTTAAATGTTTTTGATCGATTGAAGCCTTGTAGGACGAAACGCAACCCAGCCTTTGTCTCTTATACTGTTAAAATTTAATGAGCTTCAGAATTTTCAGGTGGTTTGGGGCAGTCGCTATAATCGCAACAGCAGCAAAAGTGAAACTAATTCAGCAGTCAAAAAATTACGATAATTAAAAATGACGTCGAGAGACTTTAAGTGTATCCAAAGCTTCCCTTGCAGTGACTCTTTTCCTTTACCATGCAAGTTTAATTATTGCTTTAATCACAAAGTCTATACTAGACAAAAAATTATTATTACTTTTAAGTTGAATCTACAAATATTTAGATTTCGAATTTGATTTAGAAGATTGCAGCTCACAAAGCGTTCTTATCGCTTTCTTCAAGGATCTTTGATCCAGTAGTAAGAAAACTCTGCACTTCTGTTGTCATCATCGCATGAAAAACATAGACTAAACCAAATTGAATCCCTCCTACCCATCTCTTAGTGTCACAAAAAAGTTCATTAGAACATGACCTAAATTAATCTGTATTGAATAATATACTCGAATCTTCTTGAAGCTCACATAATTGAGCACCCCATTGAATGTGCTTTCGCTTCCGAAGGTTTTTATCAACAATACATACAAACAATTATAAGACTATAAGTACTAATCGTCCTTACACCATTAAAGGTTAAGGAATTACAAATTCATTGAACAATTAAAAGTACTTCAGAGCCAACACCTGCTAGGAGACTCCTTAACAGTGTCATAAATATGTGCGAAGGTACGTGGAAGGCAGAAAATTCAAGCGGCATTCACCTACAACTCAGGCAAAGGCTTAGTTATGATCACATATTTAGAAATTAGCTCTTCCCAGAGTATGCGAACTTGACACCAACTCACCATACCTCCAACCAACTGGCGACTAGGCTGCAGCACTAAACAGCGGTAATTAGCAAGGCACATTCTTGCAGCCGCCCCAAGTACAATGCTGCCAAACGCCTTTAATGGTCTATTATATTTACTAACATTAAAAAATCACGCTAAAAAATGCCTATGTAAGTTTGTTGCAGTTTAAACTGGAAAATAATTATTCCGATTAACTTAATTAGAACAAAACATAAAAGAGAACTCAGCCTGAAAGTGGTTTAGGGAGATGTGAAAAAATCTTATCGCGAGACTTTGTCAAATGTCATGTGTTGTTCTGGCTGGGAATTTTTAATACACAACACCAAAGCCGCAAGAGTTGCGCAAGTTTGCAACACGCTATACTTAGCGCCATTATAATGCAACCAATTGGAGTTTCTCGTATGATTTTGCTATAATTAAATTACTTATCAACTGCAACCAGCCTGAGAAGCCGATATGCCAAGAGACCAACCTAAATGCTCTGCTACTCTCAGCTGCTGTTAACCGTGATGGCATCAAGCTACCAGGCCACTGACCTTTCTCCCAACCACATGGCCAGGCTAGGCAAGGGAATTTGTATGACGAAGAGCAGCAGAAAGTTTTTACAGTGATGTTTTGTTGCCATAATCTAACTGTTCGTGCGTCATAATTATTCATCCTATAATATCAAGAGCTCAGCTTAGCTGAAGTGCATGTAAAATGAAGAAATAATATTAATTTCTGAAAGTTATACATACATATGTGTTTATAAAAATCTTCATAAGCCTAGGCTAAATAACTTCTTGGGAGGTGGACAACAACAAACGTAACAGTAAGCAAATCAGTAGACCATGGCCCTGTTATTAGAATTAATTATAAAAATAAAATAAATAATGCAGCCACGATTAGACAGGCATTTCCTTTTCCAGCATGATCGCTTCAACTCTTGGACCTCCCGTTTGCGTGTCTCGCTTCGTGTGGCATTTGCCTCTATTTAACTGAAGTCTATCAGTACACGTGTGTGTGCCTGCATACAGCGAAGTGTGGAATATAATTGTTCTATTTAACACGCATTTAATTTCGAATTTTTCTGCTAACGGATGTAAGTATGTTCAAAAATAGTTCAAATAAATTGGAATAGAAATTTAGGGTTAACCTGAATATTCGAATTTCTTTTTACTTTTTTGTATTATACGAGGTGTGACAATTATGTGATGAGATATCGACCTTGATATTACCTTTCCCCTCTCTCGACGTCCTTCTCCTCTCATTTGATATATTATCCATCATTCTAGCTTGTTTAGTCCGCCTGCTGTGTCGTGTTGAGCAAAGGGGTGCGTGGTGCTCGTCACGAAAATGGAAAAACGAAATCACGATAAATATGAGGGTACTCGAGGCGTTCCAGAAATGTTAAGAAGAATGGAAAACGCGCTGTAATTGTTGTATAGCTGCCCAAGGGGACTACTCTGAACGGGATGACATAGTTGAAGTATAATTTTGAAATATACGGTTTTTATGGAAACAGTCTCATTACTTAATATTCACACCTCGTATTCTGAATCTGATCTCGAAATTGGCGGCTTTCTTTATTACGATTACGTCCAAACTTTGTCTACAGAAATATTTATAAGTCATTAAAAATCTAAACTCCACCTCAATATGATTAAACGTGAACGAAAGTCAAGGAATAAATATCGGTTTTTGGGAAGTCCATAATAAAGTATTTCCTCTCGTGGAGTTAGGCAGAAGTCACAGAAGAAGAAATAACTTCCCATATCTTTCTCGAATGCTAATATAAAGAGTAATCAAAAAGAAGGTGTAGATCTAGAACCCCTTATAAAAGCTCCAGCCTGAACCTGTTTTTAAATTACTTCGCTGTTTTGCTCTTGAGCCTGCTAACATAACCCGACTTTGGTTCTTGCCAAAATTAGTTGGTCTCACAAAGTATTTTGAAGAATCCACTTATTCGCCTGTGTAGCTATTTTCAGCGGCCAAGCGCCCCAGATAACAGAATTTACGCAAATGATTTGGCCTGACGATTCTTGAATTCCCGCTTCTTTCAAACCTCCCTAGTCGAAACCAATTTAATTTCGCTGTTCTGTGGGAGAAATACTCATCTGACCCTCTCCCTCTGAGTAGCAAGTTGCTCTCTAGCCTACCCAGTTAGCCACTTAGTTACCTTTCCTCTTTCCTCTGATGTGCCTTAATCTCGGCACTTGGTTGTCTTAACTAACAGACAGTCAACCGCCCTTTGCAGAAATTCATCTGGTATCTTCATCGAGGCCTTTCCATTGTCTAACTAAAATGAGGTAGAAAATGTGCCATTCAAAGGGTACACATTACCATCTTTTGGATCATTTCAAGCACAGTTTCACATTATCAATCATTCAGATATATTTCTAGTGTACCCAAGGCCCAATTAGATGGGCGAGTTCTCGTTTGATAAATACAAAATGTCAGTAGGGACGCCGTCCCTCGTGATGTCACATTCGCATTCACAGTTTGTAGGTTGAATAGTATATAAAAGACACCCCCAAACGAGATTGTAGAATTTGCTAAGAAACAAATATGAGTTTCATAGTATTTGTGGGGTTGAGTCAGGGACATCGAATACCTCTTATCTTATCTTATCTTATATTTTCTAATTATATCTCAGGAGTTCAGTTAAGTCTCAACGAGCAGAAATGAAGGCAACATGGATAATCTTAGCGCCAATGCTCCTCTCTGCTAAGAAATTTAAGAGGCGAGCCAGCACTGATTATTTCTTTCCGTTTTTTATTTATTTTACTGGCTTTCTAAAAAAATTATCTAAGAACCACCAATGACTCCCGCGGCAGACACAAAGTGGCGTTACGCAATTTTTGATCAGCATTCGGTCCATGCTTTAGCGGCGACAGATAACTGTAATTCGAACACTCATTGGGCGATCGAGCAAAACAACCGCAGGGTTCTATGCAAGCATCTTCACGCTCGAGCTTGACTTCCGACTTGCTCAGACCTTGCCTTTCGGGCGAAACACATTTAACTGCAAAGTGTTTGTTTGGGCACTGGTATATTAACCAGTTGGGATGAGTGGGAAGATGGTCCTTTTGATCAGCGATATATTGCTCCGCCACTCTTTTGCAAAAGTTCCTGTCATCCGCCACCAATTCCAATTGTTTATTATACTTTTCCTCCTCCTCGGCGTGTAAACGCGCATTTTCGACCAGCTGATGATCCAGCTCCTCACGTCCTTTACGCTGTTCAGCCAGCAGTTCAGCCTTTGACTTCGCCGGATGTACAAATTGATTTTCGATTACCTCTTGTTCGCGCATCTCCTGAGCCTCACGCAGCCGCCGTTCGTACTCCTCGCACATTTGACGCCGCAGCTCTGCGTAATAGAGCTTTGCCAACTCCGCCTTTTGCTTCACCTCCAGCGCCAAATTGCTTTTCGTGCATATGTCCACGTGTCGCAAATCGTCGATGCGTGCATTGCGCGCTNGCCAGCCAAATGGTTTTAAGCATAAACTAAATGTTTTTGGCACATATGGATTTCCTTGGTTGTTGCATGTCATATTATACATTTAATCGGTTGGCCACACACCTTCCTCCAATACTCATCGTTCTGACGCTGCCGTATGAGGGCACGTTGCTTTTCAGTAATTTGCTCTAACTGCGCCTCCTTTACTTGTAGCATATCCCTGCGCGTCAACGCTTCACGTATTTCGTAACAATCTTCGAGCTCTCTTTTAATATTCATCTCCTGCAGGAACTCTTTGTCGCGACGATCGCGCTCGCTTTTGATTGTAATGAGGTTGTCTTTGCGTTTCCTAATATCCTCATCGATACGTGACTTCACATTCTCGGCAAACTCCTCCTGGTATAACTTATCTTCGAGCTCCAACTTTGCTTGAAGTCGCTGGCGTCTCTGCTCCAGCTCCTTTTGTGCAACAGTCTGAGCTTTCTTCACTAGATCCTTGATTTGCTTGTAAACGCTCCTTCGCTCCGAGTTCTTCATGAACTGCCCCACGAAAATTTCATGCGAAGTCAGCATTGCTCAAGTTTTCTGAATTAAGGTCAGTGCAGGAGCGAGTGATGTCAAAAATTATAAAGAAATGGTATAAAAATAAGTATAAAAATTGTACAAAAAATAGCAAAAAATGCTTTCTAAAATTAAACGAATTTTTTTTTTTTAAATAAAATAAATTTTCTGAGTTGTTGACATTTTTCTAAAAAGTAAGTCAAGAAGAAAGTTTTCAGTGTTGGATATTCTGTTTACAGGATAACTCGCATCAGATGTTATGCATTTGAAGCATTTGGATCTCACGTGCGATTTCATAATGAGTGCCTCGCTTTGATGGCAACATCATGTGACAGGGCAAATGGGTGTCTGAGCTTTATCAGTGGTTGTCCGACAAACTTAACCAGCATCGAGAGCACATGCAAATTCACAAAGTTTCCCCTTTTCTACTCGTGATTAATATTTTCGTTAAGATTGCCTTATGTAACGAAATGAAAATGATTATCAAATTTATAGAAAGTGCTTGAGGTGGAAGTTACTGACAGCGCCTCAAAGTCAAATTTAAAGATGAGCTAAGGAGACACTTGCGTGACGGACAATCATTGGTGAGCTGCGACGTTCTATAATAAATCGATTTACAAAAGTGAAATATAAAGTAGAGAAGTGGATGAAATTTTGAGGTTTTTATTTTTTCTAACAAAATATTTCTTTTCTAATGAGACCATATTTCCAAGAGTAAAATTCAAATGATTTCTCAATTGGCCACAAGTCAGGGCTTTGAAAAGGTCGTTTCAACGCACTCTCATTTACATTTTTTATATGTTCGGTGATGACTTTAGCAGTATGATGGGCGTATTGTCCCGTTGAGGAAGGAAATTCGGGCCAAATAGCCGTTTTTCCTTGGAGATGGCGTGCTCCTTTAAGATATTTGAATAAACTGCAGCAGTAACTATTACTTCTAGAGCCAGCACAAATCGTTGGTAAACATCTCCAAACCATTATAACCTTTCCACACTTGTATCACAGTTCTTCTTTGTGTGAGCGCCAAACGTTAACCAGGCCATGGGAAGGGAAGCTAATCATCGACACATCAGGCCAGAGCACTTTAGGCCAAAAATTTTGAGGTTTTGGTATGTGTTTTTCATAAAATGTTTGTCGTTTTTCCCATTTGCGTCATTTAGATAGGGTAACTTCCTCACAACCCGGCTGTGAATGTTGGCTTGACGCAATCTGTTACGGACAGTGCGCCCCAAAGATCCAAAATTCTTGTTGTCAACTATATTGTATTTTTTGGGCGTGATTGTCGCAACCGCATAAATATTACAAAAAATTAAATTGAATAAAAAAAGTTTTACTTATCAATTTAATTTTAAAATGAATAAAATATGGTATTCTTTCAGCTTTATTCAATTTTTTTAATTTTTTTTTTGAATCCTAATACGAACACGCCCATTATTGAACTTGTAACTTACTTTATCACTGAGCGCTTTTGTAGAAAGTAACGCAAATTTCCTACCAGACAAGCAATCGCCAATAAAATCATCAATTGCAGTTCTTTGATACGGTACTTTCCAAACATACGGGTGTACAACAAATGCATATGCGATTAAGCGAACGAGGCGAGAGCATTTAAAAAAGCATTGATTGCTTTGATAACTTACTTTTTCTACCCACTGTATATAACAGTAAAATAAGAGCAAAATGCTAATAAGTTCTCAAGCACGGGACACTGCCCAGAGCCAAACCAAAGCCCAAAACTGGACTTAGCAGAGGACAAACTGTTATATAATTGTCCTTTGATGCCCTGAGCCAAAAACACCAATGATACAATAACCGTCTTCTGTGATTTTACGGTAATAACTGTCACCTTAAGATACTAAGATGCTCCCCATCACTATTCTTACTTTATATAAGTGTGTATGTTATGAATAATATAGATTTTAGTAAAAAAGAAAAGTAGCGTCAAAGCACCAGCTGGACGTGTTTCTTTAGCTAAAAACCACACTGAAATACCGTTTTTAGGGATTTGCATATTCCCGATACTTTTTAACGCGTGATGTAAGCACAGGGCGACAAGATGCACAGAACAACCTGAATGGGCGAAAATTTAAAAAACTGGACGATGACGAACGAGAAAAGTTATGTTCAGGAGCGAGTGTTTTTCACGAATTATGCTAAACTGTATTAAATCTTGCTTCTTTGTCGTTGGTAGATTCCAATGGAATGAAATTTGGTAAATATTTGGGTTGCAGCTGGTGGATGTGAGAAGCCAAAGTAGAAAAATCGACAGTCTAACGCCGCCGCATACAAGCAATCGACCGAATTTCGCATAGACTGTGGTCATCAGTGACTCGCGCCCTATCAGTGGCCAGCCAAATGGTTTTAAGCATAAACTAAATGTTTTTGGCACATATGGATTTCCTTGGTTGTTGCATGTCATATTATACATTTAATCGGTTGGCACGACCGCATGTCGTTCAGTGAAACTAATGAAGCCGTTGACCGACGAGGCTCAATGGCACGGATATCGCCGCTGTCTTTGAATATGCACACAAATGTGTTTTTCGTTACCTCCATGAAGTGATGCATACGGGGAAGCGTGAGGAAGAAACCGAAGTTAAAAAAAAATAAGGAAAACCGAAAATGGAACAACAGAAGTCCAAATGTAGAGTCTGCGGCTCACGTCGCTCCAATGCGAAACGCTGATGATAAGTTTAGGGCGTTGTGGTAAATCGAATTCAATGACTTTGAGAGGTACATACTTACATACATATGTACATATGTATATTTGTTCTCGACTATATTTGTTACCTTAATGTACATTTTGGGTCACCAACCATAATTCTGTATTTTATTCCAGTGTGCTCGCATTTCACGCTTTTTTCTGCGAGTTTGTATGCCAGTAATGTTTGATTAAAATTTGATTCGCGAAAATCGTGTTGAATTTTTTTTTATGAAATTCTAATAAATCAAAAAATATTCACTGCTATGTAAAATGCTTATTTTTGCTGAGCTGAAAAATTATTTTTTGGCATAAAAATGTCTAAGAAAATTGCGTATGAAAACAGCAGTCCGTATTTCACCTCAGTCAGATCTGACTAAAACAACAACGAAATGAGGGCTGATCTGTGATTATATAGTTAAATACAAAATATTTACAATATCTTTTGAACAAATCAGAAGTCCTAGCTGAAACAAATTCTTCAGTGATGAAATTGCCTACTTTACACCCTTTTCATGCTTACTTGAGCTTATTGGCAGTTATATGGAAGTTTCTCTTCAGTTTTATTTGAAAGCCGCTCTTACAGCCCACTTAAATGGTCATTCTACGTGAAAAAACCGTTGCCTCAAAATTGGTGTAAATGAATTGTTTTCGCAATGAGGTACCGCGGCTTACGCCGGAGAGATTATACCTACATATTTGCATAAATATGTCTAAAAGAAGGTTTGAAAAATGGCTTCCAGCAATAACATCTACACTAATTTGTGCTTTTATGCTGTAAATGCGGTTCTCCTCTGCTCGTTTATGAGGGAAAATTCGTATTTTACTTTTTGCTGTATTCTGGTTTCACTCCATTAAACTGTTTTCATCAATACCAATGGAATGAAAGCTCCCTTCTTTAGAATATCGAGTGGCTCGCTTAAAGGGGTGCCAAGTGAGCTCGAATTGAAAACTTCTTTGATTTTACCTAATTTTAATCCACCGCTTGCTGTTTGAACGAACTTTCCTCGAATCGTGCTTTGACCGCATTAAAAAACACAGCTCCGAATATCTTTGGATGACCCATAACTCTTCCTCATCGCATTCCATTAGGCAACAGCGGGATCCATTACAAGATAATTCTATTGGAACTTTGAATGTATTTATAATTCGAAACAGTTTCTTTAATTACTTATCTTCACTAGATGGAGCTCAGTTTACATCTCTTTAGCCATTTTTGAGTGAAAGCAAACTAAACGGAATCATTTTAATTATTAAGGGGCCTTTTTTTAATTTATATACAACATATTACTTACGATATTTTATATTGTTAACACAATTTATTCCTCATCATAACCTAAAAAAAAATATTGTTCACATAAACTAACCTCTTAAATAACTTAAGATTCGCCCTATCCGTCGAATAGAAGTTTGATGAATGAAAATAAATATTTTCTTCTTCCATATAACTCAGTCAGAAGTAAGAGAAGAACACCTTTTGCAGCAATAAAAATACAATTACTGGATCATTTAAAAGAATTTACTATAATTGTGATGCTTGCAGCTGGAGTAGGGCGCAGTTCAACACATTCAGAAATTTAAAGATTTGTAGGAATATTACTATCAATGTACACAGAGAGCCTTCAACCATAATTATAATATCTCATTTATGACGGCAATCGGTTTTTCTTTCCAAAGCATTTATAATCGCACATAATCACTTAAGGTGCAGACAATCGTTTTATTGACTGTTTGCCGTAATGACTTAAAAGCCTCAATATAAATATAAATGACTGTATGTATGTATGTATGTACAATAAATGAACCCTTTTTAATTGCTGCCTTCTTTAGGGCATTGAATATTATTTTAGTACGAGGGTTAATACAAAAAGTGTATGAAGTTCCAAGACAAGAAAATTATTGCATAAGTGAATGATTTTGAAATGGTTTGAAAATATTCGGTTCTTCGATCTTTCATTGGATACAAATTTGAGTTCTTCCAATTCTTGCACCAGACTTCAGCTTCGCTTTTTGCAGGCTAGTGAAGATTATATAAACTAATCTACTCAAGAAGGTACTTCCGAACTCTGAGTTAATAAAATTTCAAAAACGTCTGTTAGTCAAATTAGGTGGAAGAAAACAAAAAGTGATGCAAAAAGTTGAAACATTTGTTGGCAAACAATGTTACAAGGCTGAAATCCTTTTATACTTTTCATGTATATGAAATTTTGTAATATTAACTTTGATCCAAAATATGGAAGTACTGAAGGAGAACAGATAAATCAAACAAAAATTATATCGGGATAGAATAACGAGTTGATTTTATTTAGGCATTTCAAACGAACTTGGTACTCAGGCACTATGGTACCGCCTACTATAGCGTATATACAACCGATTTTTCCGACTTGAAATTTTTGGCCCTAAAATTATTAAAGAGAACTTAAAGACGGGAAATGCATTATTCTACACACGTACGAGTATAAAAATAAACATCTCCATCAAACATAATTAAAATCGGAGGACTGTATCATGTAGTGGCCTCCAATCAATTAATTGATATGGGGACTATGAAATGGCATGAAATTGATGTGGTCATGAGAGGTATAAGGACTACGGCATGGCCGTAAAAAACTATTCTTTCTTGTTTTTTTTTTTTTAATTTACCACAGTAAAAAGAATTTATTCAAAATAAATCCTCGTCCCGGAACTCTGAAGAAGAGCTAAGGAGATGTTTTGCAAAGTAAAGCTTAAGTCAAAGGGCGGGGTGGGCTCACATGGAAGAGCGACCAACTTATCTGCATTGCAAATTTATGTGTTAACTATTAGATCGCAGCAGCTATATGTATCTTTGTATTTGTTAACCCACGCTGGAGTGTATTTTTATATGACTACAAGGGAGCAGGTGTTTGGATTATTGCTCGAGAGATCACATTACAAACAGATACATTTTTAATTAAATTAGAGCAAAAACGCTTTCATCCAACCAGCAGAAAGAAAAAGAAATATTATTTGGTGTTTTTTAATACAGATCATTTTCCATGGCATAAAGGTGATTTTGATTTTCTGTAAATTTTTTTGAGCAAGGGAGAGTAAGAAGTCTTGGCTTATAAATAGCTAGCTGACCAAGACCTATCGTCTGAATAGATGGAAGCACTCCAGCTGTAGATGTATCCGATGCAGTACCCGCTGTTGGAAACAAAGAAAGAGGAAGACCTTTACTCCGTTGAAAGGATCAGGTGGAGAGTAAGCTGGCGTACATTTTTCATTTTCTGCATACCGATGTTACCGATTTTAAGGTGAAATAGGCTTAAACAGAGAATGATACTGTTTTTCAACAAAAAGATCATCTGATGAAGAAAGCTAAAATTGCAAGGAAGTTTATTGGGAGACAAAATTGAATGAACAACACAAATTTCCGACCTCAATGCGATTGAAATCCTTTGATCATCCGTCACGCGATGGCTTCTGTAGTATAAAGCAGCCCCACCTCAATAAGCGTGGGAAACCTTTGGGATCGCAACGAAACCGAATGAAATCGACATCCAAAGGAGGTGATGGACAATTTGGTGGAGAGCATTCCAAATAATTTCATTTCACAAGGGTATGTGGAAATAAATATTGAAAAACTTGGTTAATAACTTTCTTGAAACGTTACTTTTTGTGGAATATTATTGTTTTTTTCTTTTTTCTTTGATTTGCTTCTTATAATTTTGGTATTGTGGCTTAACGAAACTCAGTATCATGAATATCAATCATTTTTGCTCGTACATATAATTGCAGCTTTATAACCACTGAAGCGTCTTGATGTTTTTCCAATAAATGGAGGGACTTACAGTTCATACTAAGCCGCTTCCGAATGGCTGATGGTTTTTTATGAGTACCTTTATTTCTTGCCAGAAATTCACTCGGAGGGGTTGACATTTCCTGCCGAGGAGTGAACGCAATTAGAAAACTTAACTTAATTTTCCATAACTTTTGGATGTTGGCAGCACCAAGACTTGAAACCGAGCCTTCCAAAGGACCGTTTCGCTTCTGATATAATAATTTTGACATTTGAAATAAAACTATTTTCTTTCTATCCTAAACAATTTATTTATTTTATTATTTTATAGCTCTTAAAAATAACAAATAAAAATATTACAAAAACTACTTATACGCTTTTTACTAAACTTACAAACTGCCTATGAATTATGTGGATAAACAATTTATTTTAATTTTTGATTTTATAAAAATTTAATAATAATCATCAAAAGCATTTAATATTGTTAATAAAGTATAATATGTATGTATGTTGGTAATAGCTTAAAAATAATTTATTCGTTTAAAGAATTATATTAATTTCAATATAATAATTTATCATTCAAAGGAGTATAGTAAAGTGATGTTTACAAGTAATCACTGTTTGACATTTATATTTTTTTATTAAATTACATTTTATTTTATTTTACTTTCTTATACTTAAAAAAATTTCATTTATGGTTCTTTCAGCAAATTTTAAAAACCAAATAAAATTAATTTTCTATGAAAAAACACATTCCCTGAAGTTTTTGACGTTTTAAAATCATAAAAGTTCTTGTTTTTGCAGAAAACTGTGGCGGGTCTAACCAGTGAATGATCAGAGAGAGTACATAATTAAAACAGAAATCTCTTCACTTTATTGTAAAACATTAAAGAGTAGTATCATAACTAAAAAAAATTGGCAAAATTTGAAAATAAAAATAATTATTGAACATATACAATACAAAAAAATATTTATTTAAAAATCAATCGATTGCCATTGTAAAATTATTCAGTAATCATTACAATAAAAAAATACCAGTACAATTTTAATTAATTGCTATGAATTATTTTTTCACTCATACAAAATTTTTATATCTAAAATATTATTTAAAATAATTTTAGCGTTAATATGTATGTGTTTTCAATCTTAATAATTTTTTCTTTTACTTTTACAAAGGCTAACTTTCAGTTGATAAACTTTCGCAACAATATTAACCTTTGAATTCTCCCCTACAGCAGTTACTTATAAAATAAGACTTAAAGAAAGACATAAAACACTACAGTTAACGGTTGCAACAGATGCAAAAGACAAAGCGCTAATAGTTGATTTTAACATACAAATACGCATAAGAATCGTCACAAGCTGGAGCTATTGTTGCTGTTGTTCTTCTAGGCTTAACTGTATCTGCTTTTTTTCTTTAGTTTTCAGCACAGTGGTGCCACTGCTGAGATATTTCAGCTCTCTCCCTGCTGTGGTGTGTACCCCTGCATTGTTCGAAGTCGCCTCTCCGGCTCTTACTGCTGCCTCTCGCAGCTACGATTCGGTGTAGATGATGCAGCGTTTACCTTTACCAACCGTCGCTAGCGCATTGCTGTTGGGACACCAACTGACCGCGTTTACCGCAGAGCTGTGAAGGAAACGAAGAGGTGAACCAGTTAGAGGACTATTATGCATTCTGATATAATTGTGAAAGGTAACCAACAGAAAATGAAAAAGTAAATAATCGAAAACTAAATAATAAAATATAAATAAAACCAAAAAAAAAAATCAATAAGCAAAAATTAAACAAACAATTAAAAAATAAAAATTAAAATTAAATAAAAAATTAAAAATAAAAATTAAAAAAATATAGAATAAAACAGAATTTCCTCAAATAATATTATACCAAAACAAAAAAAAATATTAATAAAAAACAAATATCAAATTAAATAAAAAAAATTAAATAAAATAAATTAAAAGAAAACACAAAACGAATTAAAATAAAAATAATTAAACTAATTAAATTAATTCAAAGTGAAAAAGAATAAAATATAATGGAAGATAAAAAATAAAACAATAATTACGAACTATTACGAATTCTGATATAATTGTGAAAATGAGAAAGTAAATAATCAAAAACAAAAATATAATATAAATAAAAAATCAAAAACCAAAAAAAAAAACAATAAGCAAAAACTAAACAAAAAATTAAAAAAATAAAAAGAACAAAAATAAAAATTAAAAAATAAATTAAATTAAAAATTAAAAATCTTATAGAATAATAATAATATTATAAAATAAAATAAAATATCCTCAAATGAAATTATACCAAAACCCAAAACAAAAATTTTAAAATAAAATAAGAAATATTAAATAATATTAAACAATTAAATAAAATAAATTAAAAGAAAACACAAAACGAAATAAAATAAAAATAATTATAAAAATTATATAATTCAAAGTGAAAAAGAATAAAATAAAATGGAAGATAAAAAATAAAATAAAGATTAAAAACAATTAAATGAATTTATATGACATTAAAGTAAATGTATTAAAATGAGAAAATAAAAAAAATGAAGAGAAAAAAGCAAAGAAAATAATTTAATATAAAGCAATATAAATAAATTCAAACTTTATAAAATAAAATAAAAAAAATTAATTAAAATATGAATTAATTAAAGAAATTAATGAATCAAAAAATAAAATTAATTTAGTTTAAAATGAATAAATTTAAATTAAACTTCATTAAATTAAACAATAAAATAAAATAGTAAAATGAAAAGAAATGAAATGAAATGAAATAAAGCATAGTAAGTAAAACAAATTGAAATAAAATAAATGAAACAAGCAAAATGAAATATAATCAAACGAAATCGAATCAAAGATAACAAAATATATTAATATAATTAAAAAAAATTTTTAAAGTTATATGCAAGATAGAAAAAACTAAACTAAAGTAATATTTAATATGATTAAATTAAATTAAATCATAAAGTGTTAACTTTTATAAATTAAAGTTAGCTAAAAAAAATTACATTGAAAAAAAATTATCAATTACAAAAACAAAAGCGAATGCAAAATAAAAGAATATTTAAAAATAAAATAAAATTAAATTTAGTTAAATAAAAGAAATTTAAAAAAAATCGAGTATATCAAATCAAACTTATGCAAAAATATTGAGATATTTTACTTCAAGACTCTGAGATTATTGGCCTTATTAAAAATTATTCCGATGCGTAAAATCTTACTACATTATTAAATATCAGAAAATTATGTAACAGATAAAATAAAATAAAATAAAATAAATAAAAAATTCAAATGATATATGTTTTTTTTTTAATTACATAAGGTTCATGCAAACATTACAGGATAATACAACGGTGTCATGCATAATATACAAATTAAGGTTTTAAAATATTCAACTTACTTGTGACCTTTCAGCGTCGCTTCCAAATCGCCCAAAATACTCCAAATATAAACTAGACCATCCGCTGAACCACACGCCAGCTTCGAACCGCACGTATTGAATGAGGCACGCGCCCAATCACAGCTGAGTTTGAAGTTCTCGTGACTAAAAGGAAACAACAAATATTATTTTTAAGGAAAAGCCAAAGATTTCAAAATAAACGTTACCTGAATGAGGAAATTATTTGATTCTTACGTAAATCTATTAGTTTTATCGTGTCGTCTCTAATGGAACAAATTAGGTAATAGCCATCTGGAAGTAGAATTTTGGTAAGAAAAATAAATATATTTTATCTAATAAAATGGATAAATCGTTGTATGTGATATATGTATATACTATGCATTTCCATTTACCCTTCGTCATGTCAATCGACGTGATCTTCGCTGGCATTAATATATCATCCGCTTGCTTCTCTGTTCTTATATCCCAGAAGCGTAGTTTTTTGTCATAATGCCCGCTTATAATGGTCGAGCCTAGACTGTCGGTGGTCACGAGGTCATTACAACTGGAGCCGGCGAATTTCGTTTCAATGCACGCTATGCTACGGAGATCCCATACCTTCAGCGTTCGGTCGTGGCTGCCCGTCACTACTTTGATGGGCTCTTGCAGATATTTGGCTGCCATCACTTTGCCGCTGTGGCCGGTGAGTGTGTGCTGAAAGAATGGAAAAATAAAAGAGGATTCTTATTGAAGGAAATAGAAATGAATGTTTGTCTATAGCAAAAGTCTTTGCAAAGTTTTTTCTGCTACTCAGGAATAATTTCATTCTGAATTTCAAAATTCAGCTTCACAGATTAAGAGGACATTATTCGTGTGGTCATCGGCAGAAATGGAAACTATTTGCATTTTAAAAGTAAATACTAGTTCCCTAAATAATGAAAATGTCTCTTAACAGCGACTGGCTACTCGTTGTAGTTGGGTTACAAGGAAAAAAAAACACAAAAAAAATGTTAAACATATATTATTTGAATAAGAGTAGAAAAAAAATGTAAAATAGACAAAAAATAGTAATTCTCACGATAGCTTATATAACCAAACGCAGCGTAGTTTAGAGTAATTAAGTCGGTTATTATAAACACTTTTATTATCCAAATACGAATTTCAAAGTATTTTAGAATTTATGATTCGGCACCCAACAGACACGAATAAAACAATGAACTCAGAGTCAAAAGAAGCTAATATGAGCGGAGAAAACGTAAAAGTAGTAAAAATGCAAGTTTAAAGACAAGAAAGAAGAAGACAGCTTATAAAATTTGTATGTCTTTCACAACTTATTCTAGGATAAACAACACAATAAACCTTTCCAAATAATTTTTACAACGAAGTGCAAGTGTTCCTCTCCTCAGCTGCCACCAGCGGGGTCCCCATCGCGTTCGCTCAAAGCTGGAGTGCTTTCATATATTTGGACGACATGACGTATCCGCTGTCTCTTTATACGCTGAATTTCACCAATGTCATCGTACAACTCTTACAGCTTATCTCAAAGACTGCCAAAAGGTCGACTTACTAGTTGCCGATACTGTACAACGGAAGAGAAATTCATTCTGCTCTTTCCTAACCTCTCCGTTGAACGCATCGACTCCTTTGTGTAAAAAACAATATAAAATAAAAAATAAAATAACATAAAATAAAAAAATTAAATAAAAAAAAAAAAATAAAATAAAGTAATATAAATTCAAAAAAAAAAAGAAAAAATTAAACAAAATTTAATAAATGAAATAAATAAATTACTCAAATAAAATCAAATAAAAAATAAATTAAAATAACATAAAACAAAAAATAAAATAAAATAATAAAGATTAAAGTCAAATATAATAAAATAAAATAAAGTAAAACAAAATTAATAAAAATAAGATTATTTTAAAGTAATTAAGTTGAAATAAAAACACATGAGCTGAGGAGTTGAAAATATAATACTAAGATAACTGATACAAACTAATAATAAGAACTTAATGAAAAATTAAATTGAATAAAATTGACTAGCTAGTAAGGTTAAATTAACTTAATTTTTAAAAAATCAATACTAGAACGAAAATTGAAAGGAAAATTAAATAGAACAGAAATGAAAAAAGATAAGCTATATAAATCACATCAAATTAAAATGAAAATAAAATTTAATAAAATCTAATTGAAAATAAGTTTAATTAAACCAATATAAATAAATTAAAAAAAGTAAAATATGTAATTTCATGTTGAAAAAAGCTTTCATTCAGTAAAACCTCATTACTCTTAGTTCAAAAATACGCATATTAATATGTTTCCATTTTAAGAAAGCCATTTCATAAGCTTTTCTATGTAAAAGGATTTCAGAGCACTATTTCATTATTTAAAAATGGAATTTCTTGTCATCAAAATTTATATTGAAAACTAAAAATTGAATTTGAAATAGAGAAAATATGTTTAGACAATTTTATATTACACCATAGAAGCGAAATGACTACATTTCCAGTAAGGCTTTTAACAATCGCGAATTTAAAAGCAAAATTCAACGAATCTTAGTTGCGCTGCAATTGTTGTTTTTTGGGGGTAAAAATTAATATATAGATTTCCTGAAATTTTTCTTTACTATATATCAACGCAATTTCACATTCACCAAAACTTTTATTTTTCTTCTATTTTGTTTGACTATGTATTAAACTTTACATCAAAACTCATATCGTAACTCATAATTTTGTATAAATTTTTTGTAGAGATGTAAAAATGTTTAACCCAAATTTAAAAATATCTTCATTTACTACTTTCTTTTGCAAATTATCACTTTTGGTAATTTAACTTAATTCACTGTAAATCATCAAGTCAACGCCTTTAAAAGGCTATTCACATACAGAAGCTGTCCACAGACACATTTACCAGCTCACACACAATAATTACAGGACACAGTTTGCAGTTCCGCGCAGAAATTGTGAGTGAATTGTAATTATCAGACAATTTATTTCACAATAATTTTGGTTATTTGTAAATTTTTGTAGGCAGGGAAAGTGACTATTCGGCAACTTTAAAATTTTTATAATTACAGCGATTAATTTAATATTCGTGGGTTCGTGTGTGAATGAACACACCAAAGTGTTCAACTCTAATTTATGCCACTTGAATATTTTTGCTTCAGACACTTGATTATTGCCAGCACTTTGCGAATTTGATTATAAAAATTATAATAATTAAGACCTCGTAACCGGTGAAGCGATTTTTCAAGTGTGCCCTAGTTAATTTGTTTGTCACTTATAGAGGTACATGTCTGCCAATTACTGAATAAATAATTTCTCGGTAATTTCATTTTACATTTTACGGAAGCTAAAAATATTTTTTCGTTAAGCCGATTAGCAGAATTTCTATTACGGCAAGCCAAAGCAACAACAACAATTACTTATAATCTTTACAGAACAACGGTAATATACCAAAAGCCATTGCGATGGCGTTGGCGTGCTTGCAATCGGTAGGTTGGCGAGTAGAGTGTACAATTCCGCTGAGTTTTATATATGTTGGTGTATGCTACCATTTCGGCTGCATTTATCAGTGCATAAAAACGCACTCAGTGCAAATATTTGCAATGGTAAAAGTAGAGTGCTCTTGGCTCGTGTTACTTTAACATAGCATACAAACCTACAGTGACCACTTGTGCTCTGTGAATGGTCGGCAGGTCGCTCTTGTTGCTTGACTAACAGGTTCGCTGGTGAATTCCGTGGAACTCGCATTGTTGGCAAGAATTAAAAGAAGCTGATTTGGAGATACCGCCACAATTGCTTTCTTACTATTGTTATATTTGTTTTTGTTGCTCCTCCCACTGCATAGCCATCGCTCGTCAGGCAAGTAATTTATTAAAATAGTTTCCGAATGAAGCATATTTTTGTTCTGCTTTATGAGCAAGCTCAGCTATGAATAAACACACTGTGTTTGGGTTAAACTTTGCAGGCGCAGAGTAAAAATCCAAAAGTCTATTGAATGTGGAATTTTCAACTTCTATTTATTTTATATGCTTTTACACATATGTATGTGTGTTTAGCTCCCAACAGTGCCAGCTAAACATATTTTACTCTTCTTCTTCTTTATCTCTCCGTTTGCTTTGCATGCACTAACGCTTTCCTTTTTTTCTAAAAAACGTTATGCAGTCCCATGGAGTTGTTGTTGTTATAGTTAATAATTGAGAATCAAGCTCAATCTAATTCGTTGACCGTAACGCCTTTTTCATTGAATTAATAAATATATGTAATATATTATATTATAAATGTATGCAATAGAAAAACACGGCAGCATCGTAACCTCAGCTAAAATCCGTCTCTGCGTGTGAGCTACAGCAGGGTAAAGCGCATTTTTGATCAAATTCGTTTCTGAATCTTTTGGTTTGGTTTTATCTTCAAGTCTCGCTTATTGTTATTTTTGTTTTTTTTTATTTGGTTGTACTACAATGTTGAGACTTTATTGTTTAAAGCAAAAACTATTGTTGCCTGCTCTCGAGTGGGCAGTTGCATCAGAGTTACATCTTTATCAATATTTTAGGCGTAGTAAAAAGTAATCCATTATTTAACAACAGTTGAGGTTATTTATCAGTATATCGCGCTGTAGATCTCCGATCGGGTTCTCCTAGATGGCCTTAGAAGGATAATATTTCATAATAAAAAAAGCTTTACTGACAGTTTGGTGGTTGTTTGATTCAGTGTTGTTTGAGAGTGCGTAAAAAATGGACAGTGGCCAGAAAATATTTCACAGTTTTCCTTCAATAAAGGCGAAAACGCAGGCCAGATAGCTGAAAATGTGAGCAGAGTTTATGGTCCTGATACAGTTACAGTCAATCACGCAATTTCGATTTCATTCTGTTAATTTTGATGTAAAATGCGCACCACGGAGTGGTAGGCCAATTGTCGAAAATATCGATAGAGTCATGGACACTGTCGAGTTCGACCCTCAAGCAGGCACTGTTTCGATAGCCCAAGAGCTAAAGATTGCACAAAATATCATTATGAACCATTTAAATAAGCCGGATTTTGAAATAAAAATTTTATGATTCAATTTCATGCAAAAATAATGGATTTCTTTTTACTACACCTAATATTTTACTACTTCACTTAGATAAAAGCTGACAACGACTAGACACAGTGTAAGGAATTTCCTGTTTTATTTGCTTGGAGGGTCGAATTCATCGATTGTATTTCTGGCATGAAATAGAAGCTCCTCATTGAAATCATCAGCCTTTCGGAGGCGGCTGAGTTTAAATCGTAGGTCTCCCTATTTTTTCGAAAAAACATCAAGTCGCACACCAAAACTTAGATGAGGAGTGTCAGCGGTTACAAAAATAAATAAGTTTACTCGGTCAACAACAAAAAAAATTTAAAAACTTTATGTTGCTGAGTGTAAGATTTTCCCCGAAATTACGACTGCAACATTCCAGATGGTAAATCAAATGTAATTCAAATTTATTCCGTCTGTCTAATTAATTTGTTGATTTAGTTATTCCAGTTTCAAACTTAAATTGTTCTAAAAATACAGTTTTAAAGACACAGAAAATGCAGATGGCAAAATCTGTAGCTTCATTAAGGATCTCAATTAAATTTTCCACAGTGTAATCGCTGTAACTCAAAGAACGTTGGGAAAAAAGCCAGCAGCAAAACTAAATAATTGGTATATTGAAAAATCTCGAAAATAAGTTATTTGATCAACTAAAAATCTGCGATGAACTCAAC